AAAAAAAAACCCCACCTAAGCCTAAGTTCTGCAAACGAACAATTATTATTACAAATCAAATAGGTTGTTAAAAAAAAGACCCCAAGCCCAGAAAAAATACATAACAATCTAAGCTTTTATCCTGATAGTGATTCCAAGGAAACTAGCACAAGGATTAAAAACGTTTACCTCCATCACACCACTGTATGCTATTTGCAGTCATAGTTTTCTCTTTTAAGTGAGCAAAGATTTACTTGTTTTGAAGCAAATTTGTAAACATGGCTAACAAACACTTAATGGTAGAATTTGACTGCATTTCAATACCATTCCTTATTATTAATCTGTAGAATTAAAACGTTCATGCAATTTATCACAAGCTTCTAGCTTTCCATGTTTATCCCAAATGAAAATCTGGGACAAACATACTACTTGCTTCTCCAGAAGAATGTTACTATCATAAACCATAGCAACAGCAGAAGGTTAAAAAAAAGCAGACATGTGGATGCTGAAAAGCTTGTAAACCTATGTGAAATAAATTTAGCATTTTATTGTTACATTGCAATTAAAATCCATTTGTAACTTAAAGCTCTGCTTTCAAGTCTGAAGAAAAGGCAGGTTTGGCTGTTGAAAGTATACTATTTTACAGAAATGTTTCACTAATAAAGCAGTCTGGGTAGAAACCACCACACCAAAATAACATTTAACGCTGCCAGCGAAAGGTAGTAATGCTTACACATTCAGGGTACCCTGGTTCTGCCTTTTATAAAAACAGGTCTCTCACGGCACAGCTGCGACTGCGGAGGAGAGCGACGGCAGCAGCTGTCACTGGCGTAGTTCTAAGTAGAGGTAGAAGATGGCTGTCGCGGCTTTTGCTTACGGCCCTGGGACAAGAGTCAGAGCACCTTGCTTTCCAAGCGCCACTTACTGCAGCACCCACCCCGGCAAACATCTCTCCTGCACTGCCAACTTGAGAAGGAAGGAGGGTGACAGAAGACAGAAAAATAACTTACCATTACTCCTTTCCAGGTGATTTCCCGATTAAACTGTTTGTGTTGCAGGAACACAATTTATTATTTCCAAGAGAAATTTAGACTGCTTTTAATTGGTGTTTGCAGCAAAATTTATTCAAATTGGCCTCAATCGGGTCTCTAGTCTTTTGTATTGGAAACTGTAAAGATTACTAACTGCACCAAGCCCACAATCTTTTGCAGCATTAAAAATATGGCAGCACTAATATTACATCTGTTAAATAAGTATGACTTATTATCACTGGCCTTCTCACTTGTTTCAGACTTTCAAAGAGAAATAAGAAAAGCCCTAGCTCACCATTCCATATTTCCTTTTAAAATTTATTTTTTTAATAGAAAACCCCAACAAAACTTTTTTAAGTAAAGCAGAAATGATCCTTCAATCCTGCAGTTAAAATTTGATATAAATGCACTCACATTCATTGCCAAATCCTCAATCTGCCTTTTGGATCACAACAAAGTCACTAAAAAGCAGAGATTTACACTATACATTTCTTAGGGAAACTATAAAAAGCACTATAACTTACCGATGTCGTTGCTTCTTTCAGAGGAGTCTTTCTCTAGAGTGCCGGGTACTGTACTGCCCACTAATTCCACTTTCGGACTATCACTCCTACATTTGGATCAAGAAGAGGAGATATTTTATTGGAGTTTTTGTGTGGGTTACAGTAAATTGATAGTTAACTTGCAATTAATAATGAGAGAGGAAAATATTCTTCCTTTGTAGCACCAGAGTAATAGCAATATGTCAGAGAGAGCAATCTCCAGTAAGCAGACATGCTGTATGGATTAACCTTATCTCGTTTCTCCTTAACACCTGTCAAAAAAGCCTATTTTAGACACTGTAGTGTCCTGAATAATTCTTCAGATGTTCACAGCATCTCAACACGAAGGAAATATAAGGGCAAAGGGACATCCTTCAGCATCTTATTTGTGACTGTTTCTAATTAATTGGCTTCCATAAACTATACCGATGGGTGATCTAGAATACTGCAGAAAGGGAGAGAACCTCCAGTTAGCATTGTGCCTTTCAGTGGTTCCTAGTATTTACTCATAAATGCAGCTCTTCCACCTAAAGAAGATCTTTATTTATTTATGCATGCTGCTTATGAGATTAAGCTATAAATATTGCTTCTGCAGGTCCAAAGAAACAATATCACCTAGTCTGTCTGAAAATGTCTTTGGAATAGGCAAGTGTCAAGAGTTGTGATACTTTATACAGAGGAACTATTTTTAAACCAAACAGGAGCTCCAACATAAGCAACATGATTATTCTTTCTTCGTAGAACTTTATATCCCACAACTACTTAAGTTTACTAAAATAATCTGACTATTGAAACAATTACTTAAAAACGAGCCAGTGGGAGGCGAGTAGCTTGGCATTGCACAAGTCACACAGACAAATCCCTGTGACATTTACTGTGCTAATAACTGTTCAATTAATGCAATAATTACCATGATTACCAGGTCAACTAACAAATATCACCGTTTTTCCACAATCACTATTCTCAGTGTAGCACTGTAACGTTTATGATATACACAAGGTACCCAAATTATGGATAAAAATATAGATCTGTCCATGAAACAACCCAGGCAGATGTGCATTTCTATGAACAGCAGTAATTAGCCACTGACAGAAAATACATAGCGAGCTCCTGTGTCTCGTTGATTTTTTCATTTGTCTCTGCTTTTGATGCCATAAGCCGATGACAGATGGCCTGAACCTCAACTCATGGCAGCAGTTTATGAGCAAAACACAAAGCGACTGGAAACCCTATTTCAGACTTCAGGAAGGCTGTGATATAGAGCCTGAAAATTTGTGTTAAAAAACAGAGGAAGCCACAGATTAGGTGAACAAACATCCAGTTAAACACTGTGGTAGGGTGACAAGTAGCCTATGAAAGATAGACAACCAGTTTATGACCTGAAAAACAAACTAGTCCTACACAGCTATCAATATGGCAGGCAGTCTGCACCATGAAGGAAACAGAAGAAATTTAACACGTTCCTAGAAAAATATATTAATTGGTGAGATGATTAATAAGGGCATTCTCCCAGTGATCTACCTAATCCATTTGTTTTCTTATCTTTTGGTCTTTAACTTTCTTTTAAAAATTTGTTATATATTTGTAAATCTATAAGAAACAACATAGGTTCTTGGCTGACAGGGCACTGAGCATCTGACTGTGTACTCTGTTTTGCACACATATATTTTCCAGAAAACTGAGAGCACCATGTGAGTTGGAAGCACTCTAGGAAATGTGCAAGTACGGTTTTGGAGGAGATTCTTAGGATGGTGCGATTTAGGACTGAAAGTCACGACATTTACCATTTGACTATAAAAGGTACCAAGATATATGACATCGACCTCACAAAAAACCCCAACTCTATGGTCAAAAGAACCAACAGGCTTATTATGCCAATCTACATCCATACTATTGTGAAAGGAGTGGAGGCATGCCTTCTTGGTCACAGTACTCCCTCCGCTCATGCCCATGCAGATAGGCTCTCAGCTTGATCAGACAAATTATCAGCCTGAAAGAAACCCCACACTAATAGAAATCCCCCTGCAAACTGATTAATTGCCATCTGGAGCAACTCCCTGACCCATATGGCTGAACGGCTGCACAAATGCTGGTGCTAACATAAGGGAGGCTGTGGGAATGGGCTGCCAGGAGAGGGAACCTGCCCCTGTTAGCAGCAGCATGGACACAGATTGGTTTAGACCGATCGTAAAATTGCACTTTCTGTAGGTCTTTATGGCTTGCCTACTCCAGAGAATTGACTCATCGGTAAATGGTATAATCACAGGTATGTCTAAATAAGCTGTGAAGCCTTTGGAGCAAATTGACAGCTATTCTCAGGCCCACATCGTTTTTGTCTCTCCTGTTGCCCTTGAAGCCCTAACCTGCCTCCCAGGAAGGAGGAGTATATTTAAATGGAAAACAGTCATCACCACAAAAAGTCAGTGAGATGCATAAAATGCAAGCCACTTACTCAGAGCAGAAAAAAACCCTCTTCTGCTCAGCAGCTGCCACAGAAATCTCATGACAGTTACTTTATAACTACAGCAATTTTTCCCCCTAGGATCACATACTGGTTTTGGCTGGGATAGAGTTAACGGGTGTTTTGGTTATTGCTAACCAGTGCTTACACAGCGTCAAGCCATTCTCTGTTTCTCACGCTGACCCAACAGTGAGTATGCTGGGGGGGCACAAGAAGCTGGGAAGGGACAGAGGCAGGACAGGTGACCCCAAGTGACCAAAGGGATATCCCATGTCATACAACTTCATGCTCAGCAATAAAAGCTGGGGGAAGAAGGAGGAAGAGGGGAACGTTTGGAGTTATGGCATTTGTCTTCCCAAGTCACCGCTACATGTGATGGAGCCTGCTTTCCTGGGAATGGCTGAACACCTGCCTGCCGATGGGAAGTAGAGAATGAACTCCTTATTTTGCTTTGCTTGCACATGCAATATTTGCTTTATCCATTTAACTGTCTTTATTTCAATCCACGAGTTTTCTCACTTTTGCCCTTCCAATTCTCACCCCCATCCCACTGTGCAGGAGTGAGTGAGTGAGCGGCAGGGTGGGGCTGAGCTGCCCACAGGGGTTGAACCACAACAGGTCAGCAAAAATTCTGCTGGTTCAATTTTGAATAAAAATTGCTTTAGGTTTTTCAGATTCTGGAAATGGATACCAGTGGGTCTTAAAAATATTTACTATCTTATTAAACTGAACCGATTTAAAAACAAAACACCTTTACTGAAGTGACTGCTTCCACTTGAAGTTTCACATTTCTTAATTATTCAAGTCATTCAAAGTCTATTCCACGGATTATTTCATTATGTGAACTTTCTGCCCGCTTCCTATAAGACACCCTTACAAGTCAGAGCCTACCAGGCAGAACAGCTATATAAGATAAATCAATTAATTTGAATTAGCTGATAAAGAAATGCATAGGGAAGCTGCTAGCACTGTGATCATCAACATACATCATCATCACCTTAAAAATCACCTTTCCTTCTAAGTTTTAATCTAACTACAGTTACAAGTAAAATTTGTTCAAATATAATAGTATTAGAATAAAAAGAACAGAGCATTTTTCTCTGTGCTAGACATAGCAGAGTTTGGACAATTAAGAACATAACAGGGTTACTGTTTATATCTGCTTTTTCACTTTGTTAACATGAAAACTGAAATACCTTTAAAAATGCATGATTTATGCAATTTTTTACTTAGAAAAAAGGAAAACAGAAGAGCAATGAAACACCTCTCCACAACTCTAAATGTTTAAAATACTTATAATATGTTTAAATTATTCCAGGCAAAGGACAGAACAAAAGAATAGCTACCCCACTGCATGCCTAGCCAGAGAACAGAACACTGAGGTATGTATAGGTCTTGCCAAGAAGACATCACTTGGCTAAATCTAGAGGTCGTAGCAAATTCTTGCTTTTCCAAGTATGTTCAAGTGACCAGCAGGTGAGGACTATAATTTGGAACTACAGGGCAAGCACGTTCAAAGCCAAGAAGTCCAAAGGAAGCTGTGGCAGTAGCACCTGGATAGAAGTGTAAGTTCTCAGAGATGCACAGCCAAAGCACTTCAGTAAGATGAAACTGGCAGCACAAGGCAGGCACCCTTTTTTTATTTTATGTGTCTCAGATTTCACACTGACCGCATTTGTTTAATGGACTGTATGTGGAGGAATGAGGGGAATCAATGTCTAGGTTTTCGATTTTATTCCACTCTACCCTATAGTCCCTTCTGGTATTTAATTCACCATTAGTATACTTGAACTCCAGTAGTTCAATGGCAGCCAATTTTTCTAACAGTACAATAGTAAAATTATTTCTATGCCTATATTCTAGCTGCAAGACATGCAGCTTGCCCATTTTAGGCAACTGCTTTTTTTCTGGTTTTCACCTATTTCTATCCACTATGCGTAAAGGAAGTCTACAGTGCACAACACAGGTGCTGATGACTAATGTAGCCATCCAGACTTGATTAGGACTACAGGCGAGGCCTTTAATTTCTGCAACCTCTGCTTTTCCAAGCTCTAGCAGAGATTAAATGGAATTGTGTTGGCAAGTCCAGTTTCACTGTGCTCCTCAAAGGCTGTAACCACCTCTGATAAAAAGCATTATTTAACTATAGAATAACAACCAACATTAGATTATAAATACTTGACAGCAGTATTCTGCAGTGGCACCGGCTTAAAGAACATTCTATGCAGGCACATGTATTTTGCTAAAAATTGATTTAAAACGATCAAAGAAAACAGACTGAAGCCAAGCTGACAGTATTTGAAATGTGCATTGTCTAATGCTGTTCCTCAGTACAATCCAAGCTTTTGTGCTGACTTAGTGCCACAGCTAAACTAGAATAATTTGAGGTAAACTGAGAAAGTCAACACCAGCGCAACATACTGATGCAGATATTTCCCACATATTCCGCAGTGGAAACTATGATGTTGCAGGACAGAGGAAAAGCAATACCTTGTATGAGTCACAGGCACAACTGGTCTTTCTGGTCGTCTCGGGGGCAAGGTACCAGGTCTATTCACAGAGTTAGCTTTGGGTGGCCGAGGTTTCTTCGGAGGTATAGCAGGAACTGAAGGCTTCTGCAAGTCTAACTGTTTTTGCTCTCTCTCTGATCTTTCTTTAAATCAATTATTACCAGAAAAAAAAAGAACACAAATATTTTTAAGTGGAATTCATTTGCACTCACAAGTCTACAATTAAACAAGAAATCTTCAACTGTAGATACACTGTATACAAAGAAAAAGCTTATCTCCTTTCCACTTTGGTCCTAAATCATTCTCTATTTGAAATAACACGTTTACCACAAATCAGTTGTTTGCCCTGCCTGACTGTTCTGCCTGTAATTCCTCATGGCCGAAATGCGTGTGCAGTGTCTGAATGGGAATGCTGGTTTTTATTTTAGTATCTTACTGATTTCTGAGTGTAAAAAATAAGAATGGCAAAAAATTACATACCGTATGGAACAACTTTCCATGAGCACAACTTAAATAAAATTCTAATATGAAACAATATTAAGTTAGACAGTCACAAAGATAATTATGCTGGATATTCTTAACATGTCTTGAAGAAACAGAGAAATATCATTTCTGGGGAAAAAGAAGTGTGTTTCAAGTGAACTACAATTAAATGAGAGGGTCCAGCAAAGATGATTGGGGAACTGGGGCATTTCTCTTATGAGGAAAGGCTGAGGGACGTGGGTCTTTTTAGTCTAGAGAAAAGACGACTGAGGGAGGATCTTATTAATGCTTATAAATACATAAAAGGAGGGTGCCAGGGGGATGGGAACAGTCTTTTTTTCAGTGGCGCCCAGTGATAGGACAAGAGGTAACGGGCACAAACTTGAATATAGGAAGTTCCATCTTAACATGAGGAGGAACTTCTTTACTTTGAGGGTGGCAGAGCACTGGCACAGGCTGCCCAGAGAGGTGGTGGAGTCTCCCACTCTGGAGACATTCAAAACCTGCCTGGACGCTGTCCTGTGCAACTGCTGTAGGTGACCCTGCACTGGCAGGGGGGTTGGACTGGATGATCTCCAGAGGTCCCTTCCAACCCTGACCATTCTGTGATTCTGTGAAAATACAAGCTTAAAATTTAGCAGTTTGGCAGGACAAAAACCCCTTGGAAAAATGAGACCTTTTATTTAGGGTTTTAAGTACAGACTTATATGCTGAATTTTTTGGCTTGCCAGTGAAAAACTGAATCATTTGCAGAACTGATGATGCACAGTTAGGAAGTGCCACCATACTAATATTCAATGTCAAACATGCAGTGCCTGTGAGTATGTAAAGTAAAATACACATGAATAACTCTTGTAAATAATATGCTCTAAATTCATAATACAAAACAATCATGTAAACATGTGTGCCACACCATAGGAAATCTGATTCTTCTTAAAGAAAGGAAAAAACTCTCAAAAGGATCAAAGTTTGGCTCTCTGTATCCAACTACTCTGACACTCCACTTCCCTTGACAACACTGTCTTGAATACTACACCTCTGTATATACGTAAGAGGTATTCGGAATGTTACAGGGCATTGCTTAACGGGTTCTAAGTTTCAGTCTGAGAGGATCATGGAACAAATCACCAGAAACACAATCCACATTAGATTTGGAATAATCCAGTAAGTGACTGTTGTTTTCAGGCATATACCCTTTTAATATACACTTTCAGCTGGTGCAATCATCAGGTCCTCTGTAGCATTGAAGCTTTTCCAGCGTATTGTGTAATTTTTGCACACATACTCCTATGGCAATTTATACTGCATCTGTGTCCAAAAATCTAAACTATGCATGAGGGACAGGCTAGGCAGTGTACCAATACACGGCGTAAAGAACATTCCTGTGCCACCCCTGCTGCCACACCACACTGAACAATTCCTGCCACTCCCCAGTACTCCAGAAATGCAGGCACGGCTCCTATGGCCTCTTCAATGTTTAGAAAAGTTACAGATATTTATACCCTGGGACAGTAACATATTTAAACTTCCTCCACCGTTTTGACAGTTGGCTTTGTAAATCCAAAAATGGAAAGCAAAGGGTTTTATTGCTAAGATAACCATAACAAGTAGAGCGCATAACCAGAAGTAAACATACGTAGACAAAAGTGCAAAAACACCTGTCAGATTGCTAAGACATCTATCCAGAAACAGATCTTGCTGCAAAGTCTGAATGATCTGGCACTAAATTATAACTACCTATTATACAGTTAGTCATGTGCATACACGTGCCTTTTAAAAGACTGCAAGTTTGAATACTTAAAAGTTAAGAAATCCCATAAACAAACTTGTCTCTACAACCTAATAGTCCACTTACACGTATGGAACTTGACACCATCTTCAATTAGACAATCAATGTAACTATTTCCCCCAAACTATTCAGAATGCACAATGAACACAATGAAACCATTAAAGGTTTAATATGCTTGTCACTGCTCTGTGTGGTACTGTGCCTCATTTCTTGCAGTGTTCAAACCTGGCTTTGAAGACAGAATTTTTTCATTTCTTCATAGGCTTGCCTATGACTTTTGTGACTATGATAATGGGGTGATTCATAAGCATTAATGACTATGCCTTCACAAACCCCCTCTGTGGTACAGGAAAACCACCAACCCTGCTTTTAACTAGAGAACCAAGACACATAGATGTTAAGAAGAAAGCACACACTAATCTGCAGTAGCTTACTTGATCAAGGACCTGGGTTTTATTGAGCACAGAGCTTTAGACAGCATTTTGTGTATTGAGAGCATATCTCCCCTTGACTTCAGTTGAGGCTGCAAGTACTTAACAGCTCTGGATTGGTACAATTGAATACCCTGAATTTAGCCCAAAAGCAACCCAGAGATCCTTCCCAAAATGCATATCATCACACATCTATCACAGTGGGAAATAAAGATCCAAATAATATACTTAACGAAAACAGGGACTGAGAAATGAGGATGCACGTTTGTTCCATTTCCCCTGTCTCTCTGCAGAGAGCAGGCAGGAAAGCACATTTCATACCTTTTTCTTCTGTTCGATTAGGAAGACATTCTGGCCTTTCCGGAGGTACCTTTTTGATTTCAAGCTTTCGATCTGTGGTACCTGTCAAAGGTAAATTTGGAATTTTGAACAAGCCAACAAACCAGCATATACAGCCATGTAAGATTTAATTCTGCAATTTCTTAGGCTTTTTACATTCTCCAATTTGAAAATGTCTTGCTAAAACTGAACATAAATCTAGTTTCAAGTATTTGTTTAGACCATGTGACAAAAACGCAATTGGATGTTTATGTTTTCACAGTCAAGTTCCCAGTTTCCAAAGCATGCACCTCAAAAGAACAGGCACTTTCAGACCATTCTGTGAAAAAAATAAAAATTCAATAGCCACAGATTTTTAAATGTGGACAGATCCTTTATCACTGTAGACATACTTAACTCAAGACCAATTCAATAGTGCAGAGAATCATCAGGAATAAATCAATTAATTGGGCATTTCTGCCAAGAGAATACTTAATATAGATGAGTATACTGGGCTTATTTTACATTCAGTTAACCCCCCCCTCTTTTTCACCTGCAGTACTAGCTGTTCACTTCCACATATTAGGAGGATGAGAATAGTAGTACTGACCGTATTCTGCATGACTATTTTAATTGACAGCTTTTGGCCTGGAGGTGTAAGCCTCTGCCTTCTTCTGCCTCTGTGCTAGAGACCCTGACATACTGACTGCTGTTGCTAGAAGGAATATGGGAACTTGTGGCACCAACAACGGGAAGATTTTGCAAAAATTTCCTGGCACATGCAAGATGCAATCTTCTCATCCCCATATTATAAGAAATGCTTTACTGGATATTGGCTTTGCTGCTTTGGCTAACTACTAGGTGCTAATGCCATTTCAACTTAGTAGTGTTGAAAACTGCTTTAGGTAATGCTATTAGTATTTCAATAAAAATTACAGTAGATGACATCCAAGAAAAGCAGAGGAGGCAAGGCAGGGAACACAAGGCAATTTTTTGCTTCAATCTATTCTATTATATGCAGTTCTCAAGTACATTTACATTTTCTGAATGTACTGTTGCAACGCTCTTCTGCAGCTGGTTCCTAGAAATCAGTATTCATCATGCAAACGGCTCATCAGTAGTGATCACCGGCCATTGTTTCTTTATATAACTGTGCTGTTGGACAAGCAACACTTGTGTCACTCATCATGTCAATAAATAATACTGAACTGCCATTTTATGGTGGGATTCAATGATTTCAAGGGTCTTTTCCAGCCTGAATGATTCTATGGTTCTATGAAAAATACTTCACTTCTGAGAGGAGAAACTGCTGCTAGAAACCAGTTAAAGCCTTTTTAAACACAAGTTATGTAAAGCACAAGTCAATATATTGATAATCTTGCACATACTAGTGTGTTCAAGAAAAAGAGACACAAGTCTATGTACCTAATTACAGTAAGATTAACAGTTATCATTAACACACAGAGGGACACTCTCAGGCCACGTCTAAAACAATGCGCCTACAAACACTTAGGAGCTGTGACCCCCAAACTAACCAGTACCCAGGCAGGCACCATGATCCTGCCTTAGCTGCCAGGAGAAGATCACCTGCAAGGAAGCTCTGGTGAACTCCAAACCAGGTCCCAGAGAGTATTCCCACCTGCCAGTCTGAACGCAGCTTATCCCAGCTACCCAGTGAAATGCCTACTGCTTTTCAATGACTATGTAAGGGACTCGTGCTCCTAACTTTGGTTCTCCAGTTTTCACCTCACTTTGTAAAGTAGCCCGGCACAGATGGCACTGGCAGTCTACTACTGTGCAGAATTTGCAAATACAGCCAAACTTCCAGCTATAGTATCATACAAACTAGACATCCTCTTTACATATGTGCCGCTTGTACTACAAAGACCAATTCTAATTCTTTGCTATGATTTTATGCTCTGCATCAGAAGATACTGATGTTTAATTATTTAGGCTGCAACTGACAGTTCTCAATTTATTCATCACACTATGATGGGTTAAATATGCAGAAGCATTACTGGAAATTGTTACCTACCATCAACAGTAAGGTCTGACATAGGGATGTGGTAAAATACAGTGTTATCTTCGTAAAGTGATAATTTGACAAAGCAGAGGATGTCAGGATGATAATAAACATAGGATGATTTTCACCTCTAAATACATATCAGAAGAAACTTGTGCATAATCAGCCAGGACTTGTCAAAGACTGAGTATGAAAACAAAGAACAGCAATAGCCTTGGCTTTGCCACAGACTTAGATGGCCTTAATCAAATTGTCTGCATCCTTTATGCATCCATTTTCCCTTCTGAAAATAGGCACGTTATCCTGCTATGGTGACATGGCTAATGCGTTGGATGCAAACAGGTACAAACTTATTAAAAGTATTATTCTTTAATTATAGGAGTAGAAATTGAAAGAAACATAACGTTTTATAGAGCCTTTCCAAAACGTGTCAGGCAGTCACTAAGACATCTTTAGTATGCAACCACCACTAGATGGCAAAGTTATACTGTTCTCTCTGGACACTGTTACTCACTGATCTCAAATCTATGTTTTTAGGAGTCTCAAGACAGAGTGAAGAATAAACCACGGGTGTCCATAAGCAAACCAAATATTTAGTCATGATTCTGTACTCAAATAACTGCTTGACAAATTCAAACTAGTTAAATTATAGCCTATTGATTCACATTAAATAGTACAGTGGTGTAACTTGTTCTATTAATAGATCAAGACTGTAGGAGAGGGAAATTTACTTTTTAAAGCACTGGAAGCTGGAAAAGACCACAGCGACAAGAAAAATAATCTGGCTAGATTGGACACATTCTTTTTTTTTTTTTTTTAATGTGTGCCAGCAGTGGGGAAGCGGGAGTGCTGCTGCAGAAATTTAACAAACCAACTGGATTTAAGAGAGTAAAGAATTCCAGCCATAGTTATGTTTCCACCACAACTGCAATACAAATGAAAACTCTGAGAGCATCTCTTGCCTCGTGATTTGTGATTTTACATGAATGGAACAGGAATTTGGTTTCTGAGGTTAGAACCATCGAGTGCATAGATACTTCACAACTGTTTTTAAATTTCATGGAAAAAATAAATCATGCGGGCACTTTTGAAAATTTGTATTGAGAGTTCACTTTAAAACTACAAATAAAAGTGGTTTCAGTTCTCCGTATTTATACACAATTCAGTCTAACATATTCCAAAACCAGCTTTGCTAGCACTTATCCGTTTGGAAAACATAATCAGCCTCTTAATACACTTGTAACACCATTATCTACATAACCAGATTCAGGGTAACTCCATTTAGCTTTATACTTATGGCTATAAAGTATTCAAAATCAAGAATCTAACTATGGCACAGAACCTGGAGACAGCGAGAGAGCTCCAGCATTCATGCAGATCTCTAAGATTTAGATTACAACTCAGATGGGGCCACTGTATTACAGCCAAGTTATCTGACGCTACCTTATAGATATGCAAAAAAGCTCTATCTCTAGAATAAATCAGATCTGAAGGTGTAAAGTGAATGCAGTTTCCTCCTGCAGGTATTATGAGACTCCAACATATTTGGTCTACACTGCAAAGACATGTGCACAATCAACTTCAGTCAAGGAATGGAACTGCAGAACTTTTAAAAACTGAAGTATCACACACACTCTAAATTAACAGGTTTAATGGGCAAAATACATAATTTTAAAATTGTTCAGATGGTTGCCTGTATTACATTTAAAGAGCACACCAGAGTCTTTCAGGATTACCATCTTTTTGCAATTTGATTCTGATTTATTAGTTGTTGTCTAGACACCTTCTTATCAATTTTGATACAGATGAATTCTACATAAATTTGAATACACTCAATTTAGACTGATATGTGCTGTACAATATCAGCTGCACCTTACCTGATCCTTGTTTTATGACAGGAGCTGATGGAGGTGGTGGTTTCTTCGGTCTCTAAAATTTAATACCAGAAGAAAACAAATTGCTTCAAAATGCCTGTAAATCTCATTCACGCAAAGGCTGGAGTTAATCATACATTGCTTAACATTAATAATCACAAGACTTGAGACTACAGATCTGTCACATACTTCACCTGAAATAACTTCATTAAAATGAATTTGAAGAGAGAAAATAGCACTGACAAATAAAATGACATTTTTCTACTTTTGCAATTGAAATGTCCTGCTGAGGGGAAAATAAAAGTCCAGTTTATGTGCCTTAAGATTAAAGAAATACATGATCTTTGGTTTACTGAAGAAACCTATTTATTTAAAATTTAATCTTGTAAATATTCAAATCCATTTTGGAAAAAAACAAACACAAACACCCCCCCGGATAGATGTGGCAAAACCTGAAGTAGGGGTTTTTTTGTACTCATAAATGGGGCAAAAACGCAGAACACAGGAAATGCTGTAAAGGTTACATTTTATTCACTCACTATGACACAATTACAGCTCCAGTTGTGAAAGACAGTTTATCAGAGTTTTAGATGTTTGGTGAAATGAAATACATTATTCCCACCAATCTGTACTTTTTACTTTTGCCTTCTGTTATGACCATTTTCCTAATAGATCTGTAATGGTATGGGCTAAGAAACATGACCACTAAATCCACAACAGAACCATTTCTTTTCACCTGCAGGCTACAGGAGGAGTGGCTTTTCTTTTGCACTGATGTGTATGTACCCACACACACACCATACTGGCATTCACCATATATATCTTGGAATGAATACAAAAACAAATGGAGCGCCATGCCAGATCAAATGACATAATTTAACTCTCACTCTTAAAAAAAAAAATAATCAAAATTGCTGAGAATAAAGCCTAAGTAAAAATTAATAATTGTTTTCTTCATATGTGCATCCTTTTTTCTGAGAAGAACCTTATTTCCTTTGCTACAGATTGATCACAATCCCTGTCACTACGTTGCTGGCTATGCAACACTGTATATTGTCTTGTGGAACTACCTATAGATGTTGTTTCCAGATACGCATAACTTTGCTAAACTTCAACCAACCATTTAGGTTGATATTTTCTACCAAACTCATGTTGGTTTTTTCCCCCCTATTATTTCCTATATATCTGCCAAATGGCTCACCTACTTTCAAGAAAGGTCAATTGTTTTGCTCGCTTGCAGTCATTACTTCAGCCTCTGCCCTAGAACTCTCAAGTCTTGGTCTGAATGTTGACAGGGAGCAGGTTTGCTGTGAAGGCTGAGGCATTGCCACTCACCCTTCCTTGGGGTTCTCTCTCAAATCTAGCAAGTGTATTCACCTCTGGAGAAAAACAAAAATTACCAGTTTTGCACAGACTGAGTAAGCCTACCAGCTTAAATCTCTGAAGTTGCCATCCTGCAAGCATCAGGTTTCTCTTACCACCTTATCCTAACCAGGTCACCTCCTGTCATCAACCTGAGTAAGCTGTAGCCAAGATCTCAGGAGTTCAGAATGATCTTCTCTAGCCTGCCCGCTGTGGGCCATTGTCCACAAACAATGAGTCCCTTATACTCTCAGAGACACTTTGTCAAGAATTTAGGCAACGTGGTTCAAGGTCTAAATGCAGAAAAGTGCAGAAAAATGTGGAAAGGAAAGAAGACAGGCACAATGAATGTCTTGTGATGGCAATTGAGGGTTTGGTTGATAATGGCTGCAGAGTGAAATAGTTGGTGTTGAGAATTCAACAGCACAACTACAAAAACATACACATTTGGGGTTTTATTCTGGAGTGGTGTGAGCCTGATCCCATTGACTGTCCATAGGTCAGCATCTGCAATATATGAGGTGCACTCCTTTAGCACATCTTTTGGCTTAGTTCTCATCTGAAAGGAGTCTAGTTCATATCCCATGAGACTTGTCTTTGAGGCAAACCAAAGCACAGTAAGTGCAGATGGACAAGTGAGAGATTCATTACAAATCCCACTCCTGATTAAAACTAAAACACTAATGTAGATAAACACAAAGGAGAAACGATCCTGTGGTTCGTTAGACAAAGTTGCTTTAACTGGAGGCTGATGAGGGAAATATATTGTTTCAAAAAGGCAGACAAAGATCAGAAAGGAGGCAGAGTGAAGGAGCCTTAAGGCTGCTGAGGTAAACATGGAGAAGCAAGGAGGAATTACAAGGGTCTGTGGCTGAGCGAGATAACTGAGAAGGTGATGGAGACAGAGTAGAAGTGAAGTCCACAGAAAGGAAACAAGGATTGGCTGGACAAGAAGAGAACAAAACTACAGAGCAGGGACAAAGAGTGAAGGGGGAGAGGAAAACAACCTGGATAAAGAAATTGGGTGTAGGGATAGGAAGTAAATCCAGATGGTGCTTTAGACTCAGGTAGTGAGCTCAAGGGAAAAGCCTGTAATTGAGACCACTTGAGAGGTGGAGACTGGGACTAGGCAGTGAACAGAAAAGGCCTGGGACACATAGACATGTGTGGAAAAGAATAAGGACTGGAAAATTGGGGACGGGAAAAGATCCCAAGCTTTTGTTCAACAAGCAGAAGAACTACTGCAACAAATACTTTCAGACCATGGGATGGAATCCAAGGTTTCTGGATCACATCAGAAAATACCTGACAAAACCACTGGAAAAGTGTTCATTTCCTTCCCTCTTAGTACTGATTCAAGCAAAGACAGACAGTCCATAGTCCTGCCAGTTACTTACTCATGTGGCCAGATTTGTGTCATTTTAAAAATTAACATAATTTTATTCTCCACATTTACAGCAACCTAGCTGCAATTTCTAGGTGTCTGAATATTTAATTTATTCCACAAGTCATATTCATCATACTCTGAAGAAAAAAACACCTAAAGATATATAATTTATGAGTTCAAAGAGACTGAAGAAATTTCACCACAAAAAAAGTGGATAACAGTAAAGAGAGTAAAGATCTTTTCTTCTATAATAGGCTCACTATGTCTTAAGGTTTATGATTTCTGCTTCTTCTGGAAATCACCTTCTTTTATTACTAGGCCTAAAGCCAGGATATCCACTCTGCTATGGAATTGCATCTCCCACAGTTTTTGCTGCTCTTCTACCTTCAATAATTATCGTGTTAGCTTCTGGGAGTTGTTTAATAGTTCTTTTATTAGGCTTTCCAAGTTATTTAATTTTTGCCCCTGGCAGCCAATTTTATTACGAAAGATAGAAGCTCAGTGTCAGTAAGTCTCAGTTTTATCACAGAAGGCTTACACTGTCACTGTGAAATACTCATCAAAAGCCTGATTGCAACTTCATAATATCCCACTGATGACTGAAAAGGTTCCTAAAAATGGAATGGACTTTCGGGGGAAGTAATCCATTACTTTCTTCCAGGAAGCTGCAGGATTTCTAAATATTGTTTGGCAAATAACAATGTCATCTCTCTCAAATAAATAGAAGCTGAAAAAGCTTCGCATAGATTGTATACCTTCTTTTTTAATAATTCTGAGAGAAGTAAAGAAATATGTCTCTGAGATACCAGAAGCTCACTTACGTCATTCAAATCTCAAAGTTAAAATTTCACCCTTTTCACTCTGGAAGAGTGCTTCACTGCTGGCAATCAGGATGCAGGTGGTACTAACTTTTCATATTCCACCACAAAAACAATGGAGAAAAGTTACCAATTCTGGTCATCTTTGTATCACCTGACTCAGCAAATCACCCTGGGACCTCCAGTTCCTCTCTCTCAAGCTTAGGACGCAGGACAGAGGGCTTTCAGAGCAACATAGTGGAGGTGGACTGACTTGATAGGTCAATCAAACCCTTTAGAGAAACTCCATAATATGACTTTGAGTGCCACATGTTCTCTTCACAGAGGCTTTATAACCCAGAAATTTGTTATCTTTAATGTCTGTTTGTTATTTAGTTAGAAATAAAACTTTGTCAAAATAGAGTATCTGAAAGAGAAGTTCTTTCAACTCCACTTTCATTCTGTATTCTAAAGCGAAAACGAAACAACATTGCTTACCTCTTTTTCAAAATCAGAAGGAAGAAGCTTGACAAAATTATCTGGAAACACACCTCGTCTGCCATTGAGTTCTCCTTCCCACCAACCCACATCAATGCAATCCTACAAAATAGCAAAATAAAATGAAAACCACAATGTGCTTGTGTGCTGAACAGATATGTGTGCTGAAGTGCTCTTTTGCATAATGTCCTGCCTTTTTGCTAGAACATGACAATTTACTGGAGTGCCAGGTTAACAGGGTAATCTACCAGATAAAAACTTCAGTAATCACCCTGCATCGCATTATTATATGGAGCAGCTAGGAAAGAACACTAAACACGCTGCAAGAGCTCAAGAGCTTGTCTGTACTAAAGTAAAACACTATTTCACCATTTGATCTATTAAACCAGTAAGCATTTTGAGCACGTATGATATTACTTCTCTCTGACTTCATTTTCCAGAAAGACAAGAACTTAATTAAAGATCATATATCCCAGGAGGTGAAAAAGCTCCTTTATTTCCCATACTTTCAAGAAAACCTTGACACATTAGAATGACTTCTGAGATTATTAAATTTAATCACAGTCCAATTAAGAAGGCATTACACACCAAATCAATATCAAGCATCCCCCTTTTCTGCAGTATTTTTGAGCAGCACAATGCACCATGTGTAGCAAAACAACGTACAGTTAAATGCTCGCAATAAGTGAACTACTGTATCACTGAGTCTAAACAATGAAAAAAAATAGTACAGCTATTTTGGTAATGAATAATAATAGTAACAGAAGCCACAACCATTTTAGAGAAGGTTAAAACTGTTACTTGAGTCCTGGGTGGTAAGCTCCAAGTTTACTTATTTTTATGTTTGCTAAAGAGAACACTTCAAGCTGAGATTTTCCACGTTCCTCTACTCTGAAAGCTGTAGCTGAACCAATTCAGCTGTTTTCCGAAGCACAGTTATGGGAAAGTCACCCATCGTATGCTCAATCTCAAAAACATTTCAGCCAATTTTAGCAGTTGGCTTAGCACCAGCCTGGCCAACCTTTCTATCCTCTTGAGCAGTAGCCCTAAATCTTCACGTAGCTCAGAACCACGCAATAAATATTACACACCTGAGACATGATGTGCATGGGTTGGACAGGAAAAAACTCACCAGAGACACCCCCATTCTGTAAGAGCCACAGCTAAACAGAGTTGGGTTTACAGATGGGATCCCACATCATCTGGCAACATCAGCCTTAAGCAATCATCGCGGCACCATGGCTTCCACACCTACAGATCTGAACTGACCAAACCGTCTGCTGTATATCCAGCTGTCCTGGTAGCAGAGCCAGACTGGAAATGCTCAAGAGTTTAACGTGTTGGACATTCCTATTCTAACATTTCTAATCCCACTCTTTGAAAACTCTCCCAGATTTAATGAAGTACTTTTGCTTTTCAAAAATCACATTTCACCACTGTTCAAAAAAGATCAGCTGAAATTTAGCAGATGCTGGGTTCTTTGAATACTTGGTGGTACTCAGGTAGGTCTAACAGTTCTAGCTTGGGGCATGGTCACTGTTCCAGGTCATCCTGCGGTGAGGATTCTCCATCACTTCCTACTGCGGAAACTGAGTGGTTCTTTCCCTGCGAAGACTTTATTCGGGCTGTAGGAAAAAACATAATAATGTACAAAGCTCGCTCATTACAATCACACATCTCTTCTTGCTCTTCAGTAAAGTGAGAGAGAGAGAGAGAAAAGCTGTGCATGTGGAACACTAGACTAGAGGGACAAGCAGGAACAGAGGGATATGGATATAACAAAAGTAGGCAAGAGCAAGCAGGTAGTTTAGGAAAAAGTAAGAGGCAACAACACTAACCAAATAATTATACAGGTTTCCACAGAGAACAAAACTAAAAAAAAACGGACAGAAGCAAATGAAACAGGCCAAATTCTACAAGGCTCATATATGCCATGAGGCAACATCCCTCCAGAAACAGCACTGGATCAAGGGGTCCAGAATATTAACATCTTTGTGGTGTGAGAAAATAGCTTGAAAAACACCAAGTGGAAGTGCATGCCTTAACATTGTTTATCTACACAATTTGGTTGTGCAGTCATACCTGTTGTGCAGCATATGTAAAAGCTCTAGGGTTAAAAACGTCACACGCTCAAATCAGTCACTGTTGTAGCCATGTGTATAGGGGAATAGAATGTTAAATATTCATTAAAAGACAGATCTGATTTTTTTTTCAGGGTGAGTATCCAAAATGAGCAAAGACTTTAAAATATAGCCACTCTGATCTTCGGTTCATCATTTGCCTAGGAACAATCATAGCATGACCTCACAATTTAGAAAAGTTTTGCAGCTAAATGTTTACAAATCATGCACACACTACAACAGTATAGAGGGGGAAAAGTAAGAGAAAATGAGTATTTCTTTGTCCAGAAGAAGTAAACAGCAGTTTGAATGGGTAAGAGGATACACTGAAAAAAATCCGAATGTGAATGGGCAATAAAAGATTGCACGATAATACATAAATGCAAAATGGCCTTATTGTTACATTTTCATGAAATCGTTTGTTTCAGCTGCTACAGGCATGACAGAAGAATGCAAGTTAACTTAACGAGATGTACTTAATACCAAGAGAAGTCTTAAAAATATTGTTCACGATGACTGTGATGCTTGTTGATATTTTTCTGTAAGTTATAATACAAAAACACTGGATGATGTTTGAGAGAAAACAGACTAGCATTAAAGATGATCATTACTTTTATGGTTTTTTTTAGGGGGGACAGGATAGTTATTTTTCTGTGCTAGGCTTTTTATTTAGCTTATTTAGTCCACCTCATCTCCTGAGATAGAGTATGTGCTAACTAAACGCGCAAGGTAAGCAGCCTGGTTTCTTGCATCATGTCTGTTTCAGGTGTGTATGTTTTTTTCCTTTGTATCTCAATATTCTGATGTAATGTGTTCCTGAGCTAAAATACAGGCACTGAACAATCCTTTCATTCTTTTTCTGGTCATTTTCTCTCATGCTTAATCTGTGTTTTTCTCCCACATTCTCCCTTCCCTTTAGCACGGTGGCCTTCAACAAGGACATTTACATTTTCTAGATTTTCTCAGGAATTATTTAGGAGATATTTTCCAGTTCTGTTAGACTGTCAAGCCTTTGTTAGTGAACAGGGCTTATCCTTGACTAGCTGATGGTTTTAAAATATCTGCTGAGGGAATACAGGGCTTCATGAAGGGCTGAGATAATCAGCTAGTCATGCATGGCACGGGCAGGCACTGTGCAGAATTTTACTCTTACAGCAGAGCCAGCACCCCTCATTCCTGATGGGAAGGCGCCCTCCCACTTGGCTCTATCTACTTGCGCAGACTAGTAATCAGTGCACTCAACTGTTCTATCACATGGCGTGTTTTATAATGCCCTCCTCCCCCTACACTGCTAATCTGAAATTGCCAAAACATTTATGACCCAATTTAGATTTTGAAAAATATTAAGAATAATTCAAGCTTCCAGAGATGAAAAGCTTGTGCTTCAACTGATAGCACAGCTTAGTGCTAGCTAACAATCCTGACTAAACAACACACAACATCACATATACTCTTTCCAGGTTGAATGCTTTTTTATGCTCTTATGAAACACAAATCTTACTCCTGCTTCTTCATTTTATTAACACACATGAATTTTGTAGTCAATGCTTTTTTTAAAGCTCATTTGTTTTCATGAAGATGCTGTTTGTGTTACGCGTTCATTAATCCCAAACAGCTGCAGGTTTGCTTTTTTCTCTTCTCCAGCTTATCGCTCAGGCTTATGCAGCCAATCACCACACGGGATTTTCACAGAGTAAATAAATCTTTAGGCAGTTTCTCTTTAATTTTATCATTTACTTTATTTGCCAGAGGAGGCTTCTGTGTCGCTGAGCAAACGGATAGAAAGAGATCTCAAAAATTAAAAGGTACAGATAAGATCTGGTGAAGAATCTCAGTGGCGGTGCCCTCCTGCTACCCACAACTGCAGGCTCGCTGTGCCTCAGCAACCTCTGGAAGCCCATGTACGATGCTGGCACCAGGTACGTCTTCATCACAAGACAGACCACCACACAAGGACACCTGGGTGACAGCTGCACAAGCTGCCTCAAGTACGAATAAATGTCATAACTATGAAGTGCAATCAGAGCAATATGATTAAAATCTTGTGGCTGCCTCTGAATACTGAGCAAAACCTACTCCAATACCTCTAGATCCCCATCAGCCATGCAATCCTGACAGAGTCCTTTTTCAATACATCTTCACGAGCTCAAGGTTGGCAAAATGGCTGTAATTTCAAAATGCAGATTTTATACAAAAGTTGTCAAGCTCTGACAATCCAGTATCAATATTCAAAAATTTGTTAACAAACCAAGTGGATCTCTGCTTTACCTCCATGTTATCCTGCCAGACTCCTAACAATGTAACCAGACAAAAATCAGACTCTGAAATATCCCAGAAGTTCTATGAAAAAATATATTCTAATTACTGAAAAGGCATCTTAGTTTGATTAGAAAAAAAAAAAGGGAAAAACAAGATTTATGACACTGAAAAGTAAGACACAGCAAAAAAGTAAATATTGTGTTTGACAGGTACTAGAGTTCATGCAAGTTAGGTGGCAGCTGAGCCAACATTTAGCTACTGTAAAAATCAACTCCTACCAAAGCTTGACTCAGACTGTACTCATGTACTCATTGCAGTGACTGTGCAATCAAATACCTTAGAGAAATCCACTGCCGGTTCACATTGCCAAGCTTCTTTTCATTGTTCAGGCAGAGGCAGAGTCATGAAATACAGAAAACAAAAATCTAGAGGGAAATTTTAGCATTTTCTCATTGAAACACAAATGTTAGTTTTATCTTCATTTCAAGTGAAGTAGTTTTGTTCCAAAATCTTGTCTCTGATGAATTTTAATTCAAATGACTTTTTAGAGAACGAAGTAAAGGGAGGGAGGGAGGAGAGGCAAAATGTAAGGATTGAAAATTCTGAGTATGGCAGAATCAATATCCATTCTAATTCCAAGCTCAGCAAATCCCAAATAAGTGATAATAAACTCAATACATTGGATTTATTGGGAACATTCATTTTGTGGTAAATATTAGGGTA